GGGGCTGTGGTCCAGGCGTCGCTCTGCAGCAGTTTAACGAGGACGATCCGAACATGTGCCACACAGACACGGGGCAGCAGGGGGCTTTTATAGGGTTTCCCCAAAAACCTGGTCTGATCTTTAACCTGGTTATTTTTAGCCTTAAACCTGTCTTTTTTATTAGCATCGTGTGGAGAAAAAACAGGATATAGTTAAAGTAAAGAGATGCTGCAGGACACACACACACACACACACACACACACACACACACACACAGCTGGCTCCACTCACTTCCATCCAGACTTGTATAATGAACCCACAGCACTTTTCTGACTGAGGTTTCTTCCGTCCAGGAAGTGTTTTTTTCCTTCTCTGCTGGAGACGTCACCACATCACACAGTCTACCAACAACGAGACAACAACGAGACAACAACCTCCTGTTGATCTGAAGAACAAACGGCTGCCATGACAACCAGGTTGGACAGACCCTGGACCCTGTTCTGGTCCTGGACCCTGTTCTGGTCCTGGACCCTGTTCTGGTCTGGACCCTGTTCTGGCCCTGTTCTGGTCCTGGACCCTGTTCTGGTCCTGGACCCTGTTCTGGTCCTGGACCCTGTTCTGGTCCTGGACCCTGGTCTGGTCCTGGACCTTACAACAGTTCTACCTGTCAGGTCCATGAAACTTAAATAAAAGCACAGTCACGGTGCAGGTCTTGAAATTCCCTTTAATGTGGAGAAAACTTCACAAACAAAAAGCAAACAAATAAACAATATCACTGTGACATCATCACATCATCACCACCACCCCCACCACAACAACAACAACAGTTTTATATCAGTGATAAAAAAAAGTCAGACTTTGATCAAAGTTACAGAAAAAAAATGATTAAATTAAAAAGAACTGTACACCAGTGTGTGTGTGTGTGTGTGTGTGTGTTATTGTAAAATAATTATTTCTCTTTTCCAGTGATGATCCAGTGTCACATGATTTGTGCCTTTGTGCAGGAACTTCAACGCTAACATTAGCATTTGGTTTGACTCCAAACTACACTCCTGCTAACAAACTTCAACTCATTTAGGAGAGAGCAACAGGGTTAGCATGGACCGCTACACGTTAGCATGGACTGCTCCACGTTAGCATGGACCGCTCCACGTTAGCCTGGACCGCTCCACGTTAGCCTGGACCGTGTTGTAGTTTTGGTCCCATGGTGACAACGGGCTGGACCAATGAAACACCTCGGAGTGGAACGTTGTTTTGTCCAGACAGACGCCTGGCTGAGAACGTTGTCCCGGAGGAGACAACGTTTGGACTTGGGGAAACATCTGGGACGTTCTACACTGGACATACAGGCCTCCAGAGATCAGAACCCCAGAAGCTCTCCTCCAATGACAGAGCTCACATTTAGCGTTACAATTTTGGAAAGTTCCAGAACTTTTGAAGAAGGAAACTAAACCTTTGGGGAAACAACAAGACGATCAGATATTTGGTCCAGTTCCACGTTGAATCACGGCGTGTTCTCCCTGGAGACCAATCCTAGAACCTGGTGCTGTGGGCGAAGCTGTCGGACATGATGATGTTCTTGTAGAAGTTCTCGGAGCGGGTGGAGCAGTAACCTTTGACCTTGTTGATCACCTGGCTGACAGGAAGGATGGAGGACGAGGAGTTAGGATCCACCTCTGACGAAGACCGACACGAGGACGAGCACCTGGGTCCAGGATCTTTGGAGTAACTTCGATCTGAGGACAGGAGACAGAGACCGGTGTCGGAGCTCAGACCCAAACATGTTCTGGTCCAGTTTTTGTTAGTACCACAGGTCCAAACCAGAACGTGGTGCAAAGGAAAACGGACGTAGTCTTTTTAGGGTAGCTGAGAAGGTAACTGTCCGCCTCCAGGGGGCGACACTGATACTGTGAATAGATGTAGCTGCCAACATTTGTAATCAGTCGATGAGATCCTGGATCCCAGGGACATGTTTCTGGACTGGTCTGGTTTTGGTTCTTCCTGATTGGTGGAACTTTGTTTGGACCCGAAGACTACGTCCAGTTTAGAACACCTGATGATGTCATGTGTGATGACATCATCGTCGCGCAGTAACCCAAAACAAAACACACTTCACTCCGACTTGTGCACTTGCCACAGCCTTGTTATTAGCAGGCTAACGTTAGCCTAACAATGTCAGGGCCAGCTGCTAACACCACACCGTTAGCCTGCTGTGGTGACAGCAGGCTAATCCCGCAGCATTAGCTTGCTGACCTGACAGTATTAGCTTGTTCACATCACACCATTAGCCTAGTAGAGTTACAGGAGTTAGCAGAGTAATGTTGCTGCATTAGTCTGCTAACATGGCTAACACAATAGGTAGCGTGGATGCAGTTTTTATCCTTGTTGCAGACTGGAAGGCTCTGGGAGGCGGGACCATTTGCCCCTCAGAGCTAACAGGCTGGTAACAAGAGGGCGTGGCCCTTTGACATCACAGTGACCAAACAATCACCACAACGGCCGCTTTCCCAAAACATCAGCCAACAAAGTGGTCCAATCAACGGTCTCCAATCAACATGTGGCATCAAGAATTTAGGTCCAAAGACCACGTTGACCAGGAGTGTTCTGGGAATCGCAGAGCAGATCATGTGATGCTGGAAGCAGGAAGTCAATCAGCCAATCAGCTTTGGTTTTACCTGTCAGTTTTCTGCTGCTGCTAATGATTGGAAGAGATTTCTGTACATTTGAAAACAGGTAGATACAGAAGGTGAGCGTCATGTGACAGGAAGTGACATCACAGCGACAGGAAATGACTTCAAAGATGTAAATTAAATCAAAGGAGACCTGAGAGACGCCAGACTGTGCATCAGAGACAGGAAATGACCTCACAGAGACAGGAAATGACCTCACAGAGTCAGGAAATGACCTCACAGAAACTGACCTCACAGAGACAGGAAATGACCCCAGAGAGACAGGAAATGACCTCACAGAGACTTTTTTGAGAGATTTTTGTGAATGTTTGGTTTCTTCTAAAATGACCTTCTTGTAATGAAACATCTGAAGCTGATTCCACAGTTCATGTAGATGTGTGGGGGGGCAGGGTGTGTGTCTTCACCTGTACCGCTGTGTCGTTTGCTGAATGGATTCAGTGTTGCCTTAGCCTTGGATGTCCAGTTGGTGGCGCTGGTGCTGAAGGAGCCAGAGGACAGAGACTTCCCCAGGTCTGAACTCACCTTCTTAGTGTTATTGGTCGCAGTCTTACTCCAGTCTGATCAACAAACCCAAAGGGTCAAAGGTCAAAGTCAGGGACAGACTGGAGGACAGACAGACTGGAAGGACGTGTACCTGAGTTTTCAGACAGTTTGAATCGTCCGCAGCACAAATGTCTCCTCCACTGTTTCTGGACATTTTCTTTCAGTGCACAGTGGAAGATGAAGATGAAGAGACCTGAGGGGGAGGAAGGGGAGGAGCTTCAGGAGTACATTAGCCTTAACTCTTTAATAATAGCTTAATGTTAGCAAGCAGCTCTCTTTCCGTTGACTAGAATGTAAAGGCAAAGGTTAGCATGCAACTACAAGATTAGCTGCTAAGTACTACTATGCTATCTACTATTGCCAGACTAGCCTATGAAAGCTATTTTAGCCTAGCCTATATTAGCATACACAGGCTAGTGTACAGTAGCAATATGTGTCAAGGCTAACACTGGCTGACAAAGGCTAGCGTACCTTGCAGTGAGTTGAAGATGGCAAACAGGTAGATAAAAGCGAGGCTCACGGGCCCCCAGGCAAACAGAGCGAATCCCCAGGTCATCCCAAGCAGAAAGGTGAGGCTAACCACGCTGCGGAGGTTCCTAAGAATCTGGACCAACACAGAACGTTAACAAGAGTCAAGAAGAGACGTTAGAGCCATTCAGAACCGTTGCTGTTTTTATTTAGAAGAAAATCTCCTTCATTTCACTGAGACCACCATTAGCCTTTTACCAAATGTAGCTTTACGACTTAGCTGGCTTTTTGCTAACAGTTAGCTCTGGACCTCACCCTTGTCTTTTCAGTTTAACTTTTAGCCAGTTAGCCACAGAGATAGCGTTTCCATGTGTATGGTCTTAAACAGTGACCTCTGACCTCCTCCCGCAGCGTGCGGTTGCTGCGTTTTCCGTTGCGTCCACAGATCTGCAGCATCACCACGATGAACATGGCCACGTTGAGCAGAAAGACGAGACAGAAGTACGAGACGCAGGTGACGTAGAAAACCACCTGGTTCTGGATCCAGCACCTGAGGAGAACCACCACAGCAGAACCCCGTCAGCGTCCCGAGGGACTTCCTGTGAGTGTGGTTGAACTTCCTGTTTCGTCAGGACTCACAGTTCCGACGAGGCCTCTCCAGACTCCTCCCGTCCGTACTCCTGGAGTCCATACGACTCTTTGTCCACGGCCACCACCACTCCAACCACCAGAGCAGGGAGTCCTACGACCACGGACACACATCCCATAATTACAGCCATCGTCTTTTCTTTTTCTATGCTAGCATTTAGCCGGTAGCTACAACACTGTTTTTTTCCCCTTTGGCCCATGTGGACGACTGACCCCAGCCCAGCAGGCAGAACTTGAGGATGTATCTGCGGATGTAGGTGTTGAAGACCTTGACCAGAGCGATGTACATGTGCACCGACTCCAGGCCCATCCAGGTGAAGGAGGTGAGCAGGAAGTAGTGCAAGGAGACGGCCACGGACAGACACAGCCACTGGGAGTCCAGACTGGCCAACCAGCCGTCCAGCAGGAAGCACATGTTGAGGAAGAGCAGCGAGGCGCTCAGGTTCATCAGGATCTTAGACGGATAGTCGCGGCGGATTTTCCTGTGGGACACAAAGAAGAACCTCACAGATCAGCTTGTCCACCGCTGCCCCCTGGTGAGGTAAAGTTCACAAACGTGTCACTCACTCAAATGCGATGTACGTTAGCAGTGTGACAGCAGAGAAAATAGCGGAGACGCCGCAGCCGATGTAAGTGATGAAGGTCAGGATTCTGTTGTTTTTTGCGTCGATGTGAGCTGAAACACCGGAAATGTCCTGCAGGGGGCGAAAGAGATAAGAGACAATGTAAGAAACACACTAGGTGCGGAGTGTTTCTCAACCTTCACCCCAGGAGAATGTCATCTGAAGTGTTGGTACAGTCTTTGTACCAAAGAGTAGAGTTTCAATATGAACCCACGTCCTGTTTAGTTGAACACAACACTGACTCACAGGAAATTGAAGGAACTTTTTCTGTTTTTACTGCCACCTAGTGGAAGACTATGATGATTTTTCTGCCTGTCACTGTCCCACAGACCAATGAGGACACGGCCCAGAGATTGGAAACCACTGGGTTTATGTACATGAACACACACACACACACACAGACACAGGGTCAGTACCATGAGGACGCCGAAGTGTGTCATGTGATCACACAGACACAGAGTTCTGTTGCTGTTGGATTCTGAAACTCTACAGCCGTCTGCGTTCCAGCCTCCAGCTCCATCTAGTGACAGATTAGACAATTACACCAGCAGCTGACACAGACCAGACCAGACCAGTCCAGACCGGTTCAGATCAGTCCAGTCCAGTCCGGTCCAGACTGGTTCAGATCAGTCCAGAGCAGTCCAGACCAGTCCAGTCCAGTCCAGACCAGACTGGTTCAGACCAGTCCAGACTGGTTCAGACCAGACCAGACCGGTTCAGACCAGTCCGGTCCAGACCAGTCCAGACTGGTTCAGACCAGACCAGACCGGTTCAGACCAGTCCAGACTGGTTCAGACCGGTTCAGACCAGTCCGGTCCAGACCAGTCCAGACTGGTTCAGACCAGACCAGACCGGTTCAGACCAGTCCGGTCCAGACCAGTCCAGACCGGTTCAGATCTTAAATAAAAATGTTTTGCTGTTGTGAGATGAGATCAGAGCAGAACAAATTCAGAATTGCTCCTGAAAGAGTACTAAAAAGTACCGACAGAATGGGTACTGGACGTAGATATAACAGTCCTGGTTCTAGAGCTCAGTGTCACATGACAGCAGCTCAACCTCTGATGATGTCACTCACGGTTCAGACCAAAGTCCCAGAACGTGCAGACTGGATTAAAGGGGATCTGAGGCGAGAGAAGAGAACTGGGATTATCATCCAGATTATCATCATCCAGATTATCATCATCCAGATTATCATATCATCCAGATTCAGATTATCATCATCCAGATTATCATCATCCAGATTATCATCATCCAGATTATCATCATCCAGTCACTGACCTGCTCAGATAGATGAGAAATCTCGATCTCCACAGGTTCCTTCAGATCATGGATGGAGAAGTTCCCCACGCTGCTGGCCACCACGTAGCTGTTCAAGGAGCGGCCATTTTGTTCACTCTGAAACGTCACAAACATTAGCTGACCAATAGGAGTCTCTCCTACCACGACAGGAAGTACCTGGTGAGAAACGGACCTGGAACAGGTTGGTCTTCTTGAAGAACATGAAGTTGATCCTGGACAGTGCCGCTCGGTCAGACGCTGTGAGAGACGGACTGGACAGCAGTGAGGACGGCAGCCTCACCTGAGCCAGGTGGTCTACGTCCTCTGATGCAAAGACCACCTGAGACCGAAACGGAGACTTCAGTCTTCAGAACCTTCAGAACGGTTCTGGAGGCAGATGAATGGACTCACCTGAGGGTTGGTGCCGTTGGTTGGTAACGTGGCACTGAAGGAGGTGCCGTTGAAGGTGGAGGCGTTGAGAGACGCTATCCCCACGGCCAGGTGTCTGGAGGTGAGGCTGATGGACGCTCCTTCAAACTCCACCTTCTGAGCCAGTTCATCCATGGTCTTCAGAGCTCTGAGGGACCAAAGGTCAGGGTCAGACTACTGCCACCTGCTGGGGTTCAGAGGTCCCACCAATGAAACCAGACCAGAACCCTGTGACAAGGTCTGGTTCTAAAGTAGTCCTACTCAGTTACCACAGTCCAGATCTGAACCTACCTCAGGTCTGGACCTACCTCAGATCTGGACCTACCTCAGATCTGGACCTACCTCTCCGAGGTGGCGGCCAGTGCCGTCTCTGAGCTGCTCATCACGTTGGAGATGATGGTGACCACGGTGTTGGCCAGTGACGCCTGGATCTTGGCCACGTTCACCAGCTCCTGGACCTTTGACACCACCTTAGAAACCTGCAGGAAACCTGAGGTCAGAGGGCAGAAGTGGAACAGTACCGATCTGGTACCTCAGTACCGATCTGGTACCTCAGTACCGATCTGGTTCCTCACCTCCTCACTGGGCAGTTCAGTGTTGGTGATGTTAGCGAGCTGCTCCGCTACGGCTGCTGCGTTTTCTACAGAGAGAGAGAGAGAAAGAGAGAGAGAGAGAGAGAGAGAGTTGTGTGACTCAACAGTTTCAGACCCTCTGCTCTGATTGGCTCTTGACTCATTGGGCGTGCACCTGCTGACACCTGGATGCTGTTGATGTCGGTGCAGTTGGTGACGTCTGCTGCTGACCAGTAGGTGGAGTAGTCCTGCAGGCTGATCAGACTGTGGACGTGGGGGGGGAACAACAGGTTTACTGTGTACACAGTCACCACCAGGGGGCAGTGCTGAGGTTATGGATATGCGGTTGTTACCAGGTCCTGGATGTGGTCTGGTCCTTGTTAGGGAAGCAAGGCAGAAACCGGGTCACAGTGGGTCGGGTCTCTGGCCATCGGTACGGAAGAGGGTTCTCCTCTGGACAGTTCTCTGTCAGCAAAAAGACAGAAAAATGGTACCAGTAGCAAGAACCAGCAGCTGGAGGCTGTGCCTCCCAGAACAAGTACCAGCTCACCAATTTTTGCGACATCTGTAGAACCTGGTTGGATCCGTAGTCCAGGAGCGATCAGTGGTTCTTGACTGGACAGTCGTGTCACCACGGCGTCTTCTCCCAGACTCTGGTTGGACCAGTGGGAGTGGACCAGCAGAACTCCACACCTGTAACTACCAACAGCACCAGGGTCAGACCAAAAACCAGAACACAAGAGCGCTGTATTAGACAGTAGCTGTAGGGGGCACTGTTTCACCTGCTGGGGTCTCCTGGGCTCCCGGGTCCAGAGTGGACACTGATGGAGACAAAGAGGGACAGGGACCAGTACCAGGAACAGAGCCAGAACTGTTAGCTAGGTTTGATAAATGATGGTTTTCTTTTTACGATCTTTCTGTGTTACTTAGAGTTAGCTCGTGTAGCTAATTAAATTTAGACTATGTAGCTGCTAATGTTTAGCTTCATCCAGGCTAACTGTTAGTCACTCTCTTTCCAGATCTACATCAGATCTTACAGTTATTACAGTACCTTAGCTAGTAGCGGCTAACTTTTACCTGAGGCTGAGTTTATTATTTCTGGACGTCTTCCACTTCTCAGCTAACAATTAGCAATGTATGTCTTAAATTTAGCTGGTGATCCAAAGTTGATGCTAACATCTCTCTCCTGGTCTCTGGGACCAGTGAGGACCAGTGAGGACCAGTGAGGACCAGTGAGGACCAGTTACCTGATGTTTTCCACAGACACAGAGTGAGTCCAGTTCTCAAACGTCTGCTTCAGCTGAAACCAGAAAATAACATTTCACCAACGATGACATCATCAACCATGGACTGATGACCACGCTCGCTAACAAAGGTCAGATATATTTCATCAGCAGTGACCTGAACATGAGAACCCTCCAGCCTGATCCTGGTCTCAGAACCTGGTTCATTCACTCGTCTTCTTACCCATAATTCCACAGTTTGCTCCACGTCGGCCTGAGACAGCGCTGAGTTCTCCACCTCCAGCAGGAACCGGAGACGGTAGAAAACGTCACCTACAAACACAGAGGCAGAGATTATCTCTGACACACACACACACACACACACACACACACACACACACACACAGCAGGAGACCGTGGAGCTGCTGAGGTTTCTATAAAGACGTCTCACACACACGAACGTCCTCCACCTACAACGTCCTCCTCCTACAGCGTCCTCCACCTACAGCATCCTCCACCTACAACGTCCTCCTCCTACAGCGTCCTCCACCTACAGCATCCTCCACCTACAACGTCCTCCTCCTACAGCGTCCTCCACCTACAGCATCCTCCACCTACAACGTCCTCCTCCTACAGTGTCCTCCACCTACAACGTCCTCCACCTACAGTGTCCTCCACCTACAACGTCCTCCTCCTACAGCGTCCTCCACCTACAACGTCCTCCACCTACAACGCCCTCCACCTACAGTGTCCTCCACCTACAACGTCCTCCTCCTACAGTGTCCTCCACCTACAACGTCCTCCTCCTACAGTGTCCTCCACCTACAACGTCCTCCACCTACAATGTCCTCCACCTACAGCGTCCTCCACCTACAGCTCTGGTCCATCCTGGACAGACAGAACTTTGTTAATCCTTTGGGAAGTCGTTTTGGGAAATTAAGGATGAGTTTCCGACATACGATGTCTAAACTAGCTGCACAGGAAGTAGTCGGCGCACGGACAAATACGTGGTCACGTGGCGATATACGCAGAAGACGACTTTCTTTACATTCACCAGTCGTACATGGGATCGTGCTGCGTCCACTGTCTTTGGGAACTTCTGCCCTTCATTATGTCTCCCAGACGTAAGTCCGACCCGTCCTAGATTATGACATCACCGCTGTGTTAGCCTAGCCTAGCCGAGCTAAGACTTCTATATTTACGTCTATTGTGTTGCTCCTGTCTCCTGCTGTGCTCCTCCCTTTGGCCACCAGGTTTCTCTGGTGTTACTGAGAATTAGTAAAAGCAGTTAGAGGTCAGACAGAGACTGTAGGAACAGCCATGTTTCTACTGAGGTAGTGCCACCACCAGGTCGCATACAGAACTGCAACAGAAGAAAAAAGATGTCAGAAAGAAAAGCTGACTACGGTCCAAAGATCCAGAACTCCTGAAACCAGAACCACCAGAATCACACCGACCACCAGCTCCACAGCGATCATGGAGTCCATCACCAGTGTTGGACTATAGACCCAGGACCAGTGTTGGACTATAGACCCAGGACCAGTGTTGGACTATAGACCCAGGACCAGTGTTGGACTATAGACCCAGGACCAGTGTTGGACTATAGACCCAGGACTAGTCACCTGTCAATCATCCATTCATGTATTTTGTCTTAAAATCCATTTCTTCACCTTGAAATTTGTGGACACTTTCTCAATTGAACGCCCCCTGCTGTTAGACCAAAAACTGAACCAGAGACCCTGTCAGTCTCTGTGTCTATGACCGGCTGTGGCAGCAGGTGGCGCTGATAGCAACCTTTGTGTCAGTCTTTTGTGGACTGACCAAAGTGTCCACAGCGTGGTGTCCAAACATGAAGACCGTCTCTGGTCTTTGGTTTTAAGACTGAATACAGTTTGTCCAGTCACAGCTGCTGACTGCTGATTGGTTCTCTACAGCTACAGCTCTACTTCCTGTTGGACGTACTGTTTCCTGACCACAGTCCACAGGGACATGGAACCTCGCGGCGGCCGGGACACTGGCACCGCACCACATCTTTGGCAGCTAAATCTGCAGGTGGAGGTCTGCTGGTAGGGGGTGCTGTGCTCCTTTTGAGGCCAACACTGTTAGAGTCCTTGTTGATGGCAGCAGGGGGCGCAGCAGACGTGAGGTGGTGGTTTTCCCAGTGGTTTCCACCCGGACTGGACAGACGAGACGCCGAGGTGGAACCTGGTCTGTAGTTGACCTCCAGAGTGGGAGTGGAGCGGGTCAGAAGGACCACAGTGGAAACTCTGGACCCTGGGCTGACCTTGGACGTTGTCCTGTTGGGACGGTGGAGCTCTGGGAGTCCAGAACCTAGACTTGGTTCCAGGTAGTTGACGGTAGAAGAAGAAGAACCTTTTGTTCGAGGAATGGTTTGAGTGACGTGAGACCAGGACTTAGTCTGGTGATCGAGATCCAGTCCCAGCTTCAGACTCTGGTCCACCTGAGGACCAGAGTCCGGACTCTGGTCCTCAGGTGGACTCTGGTCCTCAGGTGGACCAGAGTCCGGACTCTGGTCCTCAGGTGGACTCTGGTCCTCAGGTGGACCAGAGTCCGGACTCTGGTCCTCAGGTGGACTCTGGTCCTCAGGTGGACTCTGGTCCTCAGGTGGACCAGAGTCCGGACTCTGGTCCACCTGAGGACCAGAGTCCGGACTCTGGTCCACCTGAGGACCAGAGTCCACCTGAGGACCAGAGTCCAGACTGTCTTCATCATCTGCAGAGTGAATTTTAGGAACAACATCTGAGGGATAAAATTTGGCCGAGGAGTGCGACTGGACTCTCGCTGTTTCCTGGTTTCCATCCTCCGAGGTCAGAACACCGTGGTCCGACCTCAGGAGATCCTGGTCCCCATGTCCCTGGGTAATGACAAGGGACCGTGAGGATCCAGGTTGGAGTTTGTTTCCAGGAAGCCGTCCACTACTGCTAAGAGTGACCCAAGCTAGCTGGACGCCGTGGCCAGCAGGAGGCGACAAGGAAACACCAGAGGGGACTGGGGTGAGGTGAGACCACGGAGGTTGGGAATAAAGGACTAGTGGGGTCGGTGGGACCGACGAGGGGTGGATGGGGGGAGGATGAGCCTCAGGCACTGGAGGCCAGGGTCCAGATCCTGGTCCCCGGATTAGACCCGGGCCACGTTCAGGAGCAGAAGACTCTGGGTTCTCCCTGGGAGATCCAGCAGGAGTGGGGTTGATTTGATGGACAGAGGGAATTCCGACAGTGTGAAATAACGAGCTCCAGTGTGCATCAACCTGAGGGGAGTGGGAGGAATGTGACCAGCCTTCAGCAGACAGCGGTCCGGTTCCCAGGGTCGGAACCACCTGAGGCCCAGGAAGGACAGGGAGGGTCGCCGACACCCCAGGTGTTCCTTCAAGGTTTTTCTGGAGGTCGACTGGAAGAGACCGTGACGGCTGGACGTCCTGGCCCACGCTCTGGGACAGACCTGAACTAGAGGACTGAGGAGGACCAGGCTCGTCTGAAGAAGCAGAGACAGGAAAGAAAAGAAAAGAGAGGGAAGAAGTGACACGAGGCTCAGACGGCGGTTCAGGAAACGAAAACCGTCCCTCGACAGTTTGGTCCCGTTCACCAGAATCACCGTCCCCTGCTGGACCCTGCTCCAGGTTGGTGTCAACATACTCTGTTCTGGCCCTAGAGGGCGGTAAGATACGAGGGACCGGGAGAAGAAACAAAGTTCCACGGGGGTCGGTGAAGTCACCCACCCCCTCAGGGTGACCTCCTGACCCACGCTCATCTGTTGGTGGTTCAACAGTCTCTTTGGTCACGCCTTCGCTCAGTGGTGCCCCCTGTGGCGAAGGTCTATTTTTTCTGCTCAGAAACGATGATGATCCAAATGGTGGTGCGGCCCCTGCTGACCCCGACTCCTCCTCTCTGCGGTCAAAGACTTTAGGAGGACTTGGCAGCGATGACATCACAGTTGTCGTCACACGTCCTAGAGTTAGCGTAGCATTGGTGGGTCCAGGAACGTCGTCTGTGTGTCCCATGTTCACCGATGTGGGGGGGCCCTCATTTGGTTTGGGTGGAGGTTTCGTCACGTGTCCAAGAGTTTGTGTGGTGTTCCTGAATCCAGGACCGTACTCCTGATGACGCAGGTGTTCTGTAGGAGTCCGTATGGTCCCAGGGGGGCGCTGTGAGTCTGTCTGGGACACGTCGTTGGTCGGTTGATGCGACGTAGGTTTGGTTACATTTTCAAATGGTGACGTAACTTTACTGAACCCAACGGCTTCTTTTCTACGATAAAGGTCCTGTTGGGGGGGGGGCAGGGTTTCCATGTTGTTGGGTCGTGAAGTTGGACTGGTCACACGTAGGAAATCCACAGCGGTTTTCTCTGAACCAGCTCTAAAGTCCGCCGTCGTGTTCCCGACCGCGGCTGTCACCCTGGGTCCAATCAGAGGCGGCGACCTGGTGGTGGCTTTGATGACAGCGGTGGAGCCAGCAGCTGCCGTGGGTTTGGTGGCATAAACCACTGGACCCGATGGTGACCTGGAGGGGGCTGGACGTCTTCCTCTGATTGGTCTCCTCAGCCCCCGTCTGGTCAGAGGGGTAGAAATGTAGCCCAGTGGGGTCCTCACGCCACGAGGGCGGTGGGGCCGAGGGACAGACGGGTCTGCACGGGCAGGCGGACCTGGAGAGTTCAAAGACCCCCGACCTGAAGGAGACCCAACGATGTGTCGTCGTCGTCGTCGTCGTCTGATGCTAACCCTGGGTGAAGACGCGGTCACCAAAGACGGCGCCGTCTTCGTTGTCTCCTTCAGAGGTTCCACTAATTCAGCAGGTCAAAGAGGTCAAAGGTCATTATAAAGTTAGAGAACCTTTTCACTAACCTCATGCTACGCTCACCACCGTCAGGGCAGGCCAGTATTCAGTACTGGTTTTTGGACCGGTCATCATGCACATCAACCAATGAGATTGTGGGGGCGGGGCTTCCTATCTGTGTAGAGGTTTTTTTTACTGTAAAACCTCTTGGTTCTAGGTTCTTGTCTTAGACCTAGATCTAGTGGAAGAGATCAGTACAGGTTGGATTTCATCTACCTTTAATGGAGAAGCATGCCTTAACAGCTCCCCCTACAGGCACCTCTAGGAATCACTTTGTGCTTTTGATCTGTTTTTGCCCCAGTTCTGCAGCTGCTGTGATTCCCGGGAAATTCTGTCGACAGGAAATGACCAAACACAACACACAAAACGCCTGGACTGCGCCCCCTACAGTCCAATAAAACCTGGACTAAACCCACAAGGAAGATGGTTCACGATTGATCTTAGCCTCGCTGTACGTCGACTTGTGTATCGCCACCTGCAGGTCTGATTAGTATCATGTTTTGTCAGCACATCATTAGCATGTGGTTAGCATGTGGTTAGCATGTGGTTAGCATTGTCAGCCATCTCTGCTTCGCTTACCACGTGAGCTGTTGGGGTTAGTAGCAGCGTTGTTAGCAGAAGACGATGAAAGAGTGGTGGCGCTGTTGCTGTTCGACTGTTGGACTGAAAGAAGTAAACAATCAGAACATGAGCTGGGTGTCATAGCAACCACATCCACCTGTCAATCAACAAGACCGTCAAGACTTTTTACTACTTTGACAATTGTGCCTTTTTTTATGGACCAACTGTTGTTGGCGCTAGCTATTAGCTTTTTTAGCTAATAATAAAATGTGATCAAGGCGTTAGTGCCGACCTGATGACCAACAGTCGGAAAAAGTCCAGACCAACATCAGTCTTGGACTATAGAGCTATGGACCAGTGATGGACCAGTGATGGACCAGTGATGGACCAGTGATGGACCAGTGATGGACCAGTGATGGACCAGTGATGGACCAGTGATGGACCAGTGATGGACCAGTGATGGACCAGTGATGGACCAGTGATGGACCAGTGATGGACCAGTGATGGACCAGTGATGGACCAGTGATGGACCAGTTTACTGCTGGGACTTTGACCTGTTTTTAATCTGGTTTTTCTCTGGTGACCACAGCTAACGTTAGCGTCAGCATCTGTGACGGTCGGTGGTTGAAGGTTGGTCCAATCATCAGTTCAAAGTTCAAAATAAAAAAACATTTGAAAAAAGTCCTTTGTTTCTTGTCATCAGATGGAAAACAAAGAAAAAAACAAGGAGGAGGAGGAGGAGGAGGAGGAGGTGACATAAACAGGGCCTTGACTCATTACCAACAGAGAAGTGCGTTTCTTTTTCTTACCTGGACAGCCAAGTCCTGGAGCGTCACAGCTGACGGAGAGAGACGAGTCCCCAGATGGAGAAACACCTGAGGGGGCAGTGTCAAAAACATCAGGCCGGAGCTGGTGAACCCAAACATAATGTGACTAATGCAGCAAGGTACAAGAATCAGACGGAAGTTTCCTCACATGATAAGAATCAACACTTTCCTAAAATCTCTGTTTTTCTCTGTGAGGTTTGGTCAGCAGCACTTTTAGACATTTCCAGTGGTGACGAGTGGAAACTCCTGGAAGTTGTAAAAAGTCCTGGATCCAGACCTTAGCGGTGGACTGCGGTGTGTGTGTGTGTGTGTGTGTGTGTGTGGAAACTCTGACTCTGTCAAAACAAACTTTTACGTTTGTTTGAAGAAAGTCCTTTTGTTTAGTTTTGCGTCACAGCAGCGTTAGCTTAGCTGCTTCAGTCCAACCCTGTTTCCTGTTTCCTGAAACATCCTCATTATCGTCTCCTGCCGACTTTAAGTTCTGTGTTTTTCTTCTGGCAGGTTTGTCATTTTTCGAGGCTAACTGTTAATTATCTTTTTTAAGCTAGTTTTAACAAGTATTTTGGCTAAAAGTTTACCAGTGATTTTAACAAAAACATGATGCTAGGTTAGCCTGTGCACAATCACATACACACACATACACAAGCACATACACAGGCGTGTTAGCAGCACTCACCACCAGAGGGCGCAGCAGTGGTTAAGTGAGTACAATGAGGGAAGCAGACTGTGAAGAGAAGCACAGGTGACAGAGTCACATGACTGCAGGTAACAAGGACCTTAGTGGGTCCGGGTCAACAGTCGGTCGGTTCAACAGTTGTCGCGGGTCAACAGTCGGTCGGTTCAACAGTGGGTCGGGTCAACAGTGGGTCGGGTCAACAGGCGGTCGGTTCAACAGTTGTCTCGGGTCAACAGTCGGTCGGTTCAACAGTTGTCTCGGGTCAACAGTCGGTCGGTTCAACAGTGGGTCGGGTCAACAGGCGGTCGGTTCACCAGTCGGTCGGGTCAACAGTGGGTCGGGTCCACGGGCGGTCGGTTCAACAGTTGTCGCGGGTCAACAGTCGGTCGGTTCAACAGTGGGTCGGGTCAACAGTGGGTCGGGTCCACGGGCGGTCGGTTCAACAGTTGTCGCGGGTCAACAGTCGGTCGGGGCAACAGTCGGTCGGTTCAACAGTGGGTCGGGTCAACAGGCGGTCGGTTCACCAGTCGGTCGGGTCAACAGTGGGTCAGTTAGTGTCAGAGTGAACTCACTGCAGCTGAGTGTCTGGTCCGTCTGGGCCAGACCAGCTGGGATGGACCACTGACTGTTGTCCCAGTCCAGCACGTTTCCCGTCAGGTCACAGGTCAGTGACCTCAGCTGCTGCTCTGACATCACATAATCCCACAGACGCAGATTATAGATGAAACCGTTGAAGAAGAACTGACCTGGGACCAGGGAGAAGCCTGTTAGCATCATTAGCTTCTGCAGCATTGACGCTGCCATAACAAACCTCATAGAGAAAACCACTGATTTAAAGACTGACAGAAAAACGATGTTCATACCAAAAAGAAACCATTTAAATATTAGCCAACCACAGAGCAGCAGCATTAGCCCTGGGTAAGCTACACAGCTAACAATTACTAAAGAATTACCCATGAGCACAGAGCAGAGGACATCAGATTTAAGGTTAGATAAGAGTTAGCCTAGCTAGCCAAACTTCTCTATAGCTGAACAGCTAAACGGTCTGCCTCACCTCCCAAACGGAACTGTCCAGCCGCTGGTAGCGAATGTCCACTGGAGGCAGTACAGGTGCTGGTCTGGTACTGTCCATTAAAGAAGAGTGCGACGGTGCCGGAGGAGGAGGTCCAGCTGCTGCAGATGGACTTCATGGAGGAGGTGACGTCACTGGAGGAGAGCAGCGATTGGACGGAGCAGGAAACTCCATCCACCACCAGAACCATTCCTGACTGAGCAGAACCCAGAGCCAACCTGAGCTCACCGCTCGGGTCGTAGTAGGAGAAGAAGAACTCTTTCTGTCAGGGAGAAGAGGAAACAGGTTGGACTTGTGAGGGTCCTGCTGGAGCTCCCTTCTCCTGTCTCCTTGTCTCCTTGTCTCCTTGTCTCCTTCTCTTGTTTCCGTCTGTCAGTTTTTGTACCTGTTTTTCTGAAACTCGTTCGGCTTCGAAGCACAGTGTGAAGTGATGGAGCGTTGGCATGGAAACGGAGGCGGCCACCCTGGTGGCCTGGCCGTTCCCACCGGTCACCTGGATCTTCTGGTTCCTCAGTGCCACGGCAACTAGAGGTGGGTGGGGCCAAAAGACAGGAAGGGGCGGGGCAGGAATCATGATTAAAAATGAATAAATTGAAGAAGAAGAAAATGAAAGAATCAAAGATGAAATGAAAGAAAACATTTGGATGGAAGAGGAGAAGAAGTGAAGGACGGAGGAGGAGGAGGAGGAGGAGCAAGAAGAACGTTCTGTGGACGTTCTCCTCAGTTTCACTGCTTCACTTATTTCACTTCAAAGTTTGGTTCCTGATCGGTTCCTGATCCTCAAGAACCCTGAAGATGGAACTCTTTAAACCTCTCCAGAGCAAACGTCCACTGAACTGGACCCCAACCTCATGTTGTTCCACCTTCACCTGGCTCCGCTCTAAGAAGCATTAAGAAGAAGCCACAACTCAAGTCCTCACAAACCCGTCCTCCACGGGTCGGAGCAGGTTCTACCTGAGCCGCGGCGTCCGTCTGTGACCTACCGTGTCTGAAGCTAACACTGAACCCTCTCTTCTGGACGCTGAAGTCGGAGGTGAACGTCAGCTCCATCACGTTCCCCGTGGAGTTCAGCGTCAGACCGCTGGCCGTCGGGCCGCAGAACCGGACGTCGGCGCCGCCGGTGTTCACAACCACCTGGTCGTAGATGCAGCCCGGCGCCTCCTCCAGGTCAAAGTCCAGGAAGGAGAGCTGGATGATGAAGCCGGCGGCAGCTCGCAGGCTCCACCTGCAGGCCTGAGAGTTGGGGTATTTCTCAGGATAACAGGGCGACGAGAAGCTGCCCTGGGGCTCCTCCAGAGTCAGGTGACAGTTGGTGGGTTCACAGCCCAGAGCTGGAGACGACCATGAGACGAGACAGTCAAGAAGGTTAGGGACAAAGAGCTGACGGAGAGGCTGAGAGGACAAGGACAGACGGGGAAGAAGACCAGGAGACAAATAACCAGGTGTGCAGTTAGCTACAGGTACAGAAGTGATCCAGAGACAGAGGGGGAGGAGCCTGTCCACAAGGACACTGGGACACTAAAGAGGAGAGGATGCATAACAGTCGTAGGAGAAGTTGGATGAGGCAGTAGAGCACAAGCTCTAGGACTCTAGGGGGCGGCGGAGAGGCAGCCACGATGGTGCCAAAGAGACGAAGAAGACGACAATCACGTTTGGAGACAAGGAGACACACAGGACAAAAACAGACGAGACCAAAGTCCAAGTGTTGACATCGCACCGAGGGTGAGATGTTAGGAGCCAGGGAGGAAGAGGGGGGAGGAGGAGGAGGAGGAGGAGGAGGAGGAGGAGACAAGGACAACGGTCACTGGACTTAGTGGTCGCTCAAAGAGGCTTCAACCTCTTTAGAGACAAAGTTCTGAGCAGAGGAGATCTGGACAAGAGTTAGATAAGAGTAGTGCAGTTAGCTAGTAGTTAGTGGCTACAGTTAGCTAACCTCGGGGAAATCAATCAATCAATCAATCAATC